CCGCCGGAAATTTATGTAATTTAAAACTTGTTCTTTATGTTTTTTTTAATTCCTTAACAAAAAATCGCTGCTATAGCAGCGATTTCACTTTTAATTTTTATTTATTTATAAAAACGCTGCTAAAGCAGCGATTTTAAAGAAATAATGATTTTTTTTTTTTGAAAATATCGCTGCCAAATTTAGCGATTTTTATTTCTTTTTACGGAACGACGTCAATTTTTATCAGAAGAAAATTGATCCGTCAGTAGGGATTTTGCCCTTTTCGTTAATTTTTTTTTATGTGCCCTTTTTGTTTTTTGAAGGAGAAAAATGACCCTTTTAGGTTCGGACTCCCTTTTTGTTGATATTTTAATTCATTAGAGTAATAAGGTAACCATATTGTCAAACTACAAAGGATATAATGTTTTTAAAGAATTTTAAAAAATGTTAATAATAAAAAAGAAATTAAAAAAATGTTAATAATAAAAAAGGAATGATGTGACATGGCATCCTATTAGGAGAGAGATAATATTTTTTTTGTGTCAAGTATATTTTGAGGAAAAGAGGTAAAGTTGAATGATATTGTGGTCCTAAAACAAACATAAGTGATATTCTTAGGTAATTTCCCAAACATGGGTGACTATCCAGAGAAATTACTCAAATTACCCAACTTTCACCATTTTTCGTGTGTATTTGCACAAGGTTATGGCACTCACTAGAAAATTTTCTGAAAAAGTTTCATGAAATCTTCATAATGAGTTGGAGAAACATTAAGTATAGTCCTACCGTAATAATATATTACGTAATGAGTTGGAAAAAATCTGAATTCCTTTTTTTTTATCACTATAAATGATTAAAAAAAAAGTGATTCGGATCGTGTATAAGTTATGGGTGTAGTTTACTATGTCATGAATGGTCCTACTAAATTTGGGCAAAAAAAATTCAGTCTGTCATTCCCAAAAATTCATAGACGATCTAACTTCTTTTTCTTATGAAATTTAGTATAATTCCGTAAATGGAGTTCACAGAAGTAGGTGAGTCATTGAGAGTAAATGGAGAGAGCTTTGGAGGAATTTGACTGATGGAACGTGTACTGAGATTTAAATCCTAACCTCCATGGTTTTCACTCACTTCATTGACCGCTAAGCCATACTCTTGTATGCCAATTATCCAACCCAAGAAAGGAGCAGGAAGCACAAACCTCCCAAGAAATTCAGACATGATCAAAAGGAAAACAATAGGGGGAAATGGTTCTATGGGAAGAGAATAGAGAAATCAGTAGCTTGCAAAACAACTTCTCCGTCAGCTAATATGAAAATAAGAGGGGAAAATTCTACACATTAACAAGTTCTAAAGTTGAGCTCTAACTATGATGATGGGAAATTGAAAATGATAACAAGTCCAACCATCTGTTTGACAACGCCGCTAAATATGAACTCACATAGTTTACTCGAGATGAACAAGGGAATTAACCGCAGTGTGTTTAGGGCATCTATTCTCCAGGTGCGGAAACACCTTGCTTCAGTCTTTCCTTCTTCATCTTCTTCTTGGAAACTGGCTTCTTTTTCTTTGGAGGAAGGGTTTTCTGTGCATACATGTAAAGCAAGTAGTTCCCAATGAGGAATGTCAACAGAAGCCCACCGACAACTATTAAGACAATTAATCCTGGGTTGAATCCTTTCACTTCAACATCCTTAGCCATATTCTTCTGCTTGAACAGAGAACAAAAGTAAATTTTTGTCTAATCCATATCTGTGATTAGGAAGGGATAAGAGTACATAAAGATACATAAAAGAATTAGCCCACAAAGTGTTCTTCTGCGATGCATGAGCAACTTATTGCTTTAATCCAACTTCAAAAGATAACTTCACATCTTTTTAAGGAAACAATAAACAGACAACAAATTATAACAAAATTGTCAAAGAAAACAGATTGGAAGGCCCGCATATCTTGAACTAACTTCTAATGGGTAGAGTTCAAATCCTTCCCCTTGATGTAACTAAAAGGCAATTCAAAACAGTCTCCTGTCTATAATGCACAAGGCTAAGGGCTCACTCAAACAAGCTCTTAAACACAATAAAAAGACTAGCCAGTAAAATGTGAAGTCTCTAAATCTAAAATCAATTTGTTTCTAAATATAGTAAAGTGTCATTATTTGTTTTTGCAACAAGCTTTAGATTGTTATGAAATAGGACCAAGGAAATAGTTAAAAAGACTACAACCCAAAAATAAAAAAAAGTACAACAAATAATCATTCCACCAGTGTCTAGCTCAACCAAATTTTCCACAAAAAAATAAAATTGGGGGGTGGGTGGCTCCCTGAGTGAGTATCTGTGTTTGCAATAACATCCAAGAACCATACTCATAACACCTCATACACGGAATCAACTTGGACAAAGAAAGGACCAGTTCCAAATACATGGAGGACTATTACTGCACTTGCCACCTAAGGGGTGATCTCAAGTCTTTTTAAGTCCAAACATAAAGAGGATTTTGGGCTTTGTATTTTTTGTCCAATTATGTCTCAAAATATATTTTTTTAGATAGATAACTACTTCATAACTAATACACAACTCTTGAAGATCCAATGTCTTAATCTACGGTTCTCTACATAGTGCATCTCCAACACCAAACAATACTCCAGGAGAAAAAACAGAAAATTCTCACCAATTCAGACACTAACAATTATTGTTTACATATCCATATATTACATAAATTTCAACGAATTTATCATATAAGAACCATATCACCTCAGCCTCCCGAAAACAATGAACTCATGATATCTAGCAAGCATATGCATAGGTGACATATCACATCCGGACATCAGAAATTCGATACATAGCATAGCAACTATAAATGAATAAATGTACAGTCCTCTACATTCTTTATTTCCAACATCAAACACTTACTCCACAAAAACTTCTGCAAATTCACACCAATATTAACATAACTCAAACCATAAAACCTCCGTTCACGGAAAACAATGAATTTATGATATCTAGCAACCATAAGCTACAGATCACATCCAAAAGACCTACAGTTCTCTAGATTCTACATCTCCAACACCAAAAGTTTATTCCAAAACACCTTAGCAAATCAAACAACTTCTGATATAGACACTTGCACTACTTTCACATATCTGTATCACAAAATTTCAACTAATTTAACATAACTCGAACAACAGTAACACCTCCATTTACAGAAAACAATGAATTCATGATATCAAGCTAAAACAAGTGACCGATCACACCCAAAAAACAAAATATTGTACTGTCTCAGACCAGACCGAATGAATGAACCTACAATTCTCTACATTTTATATTTCCAACACCAAAAATTTACCTCAAAACACCTCAGCAAATCGAACCAATTCCTCCATAAACAATTACACTGTTTACATATGCACATCAAGGAATCTCAACAAATTTAACATAACTCGAACCTTAAAACCTCATTTTACATATCCTTATCACAAAATTCCAGCAAATTTAAAATAACTCAAACAGTAACACACATTCTATATTTCCAACACCAAAAACTTACTCCAATACAGCTCGGAAAATCTGCCATTAACAATTACTCTGTTCACATATCCCTATCACAAAATTTCAGAAAATTTAACATAACTCAAACAGTAATACAAATTCTATATTCCCAACGCCAAAAATTGGCAAAAATCCTCCGCAAATACCAACCAATTCTGTCATTAACAATTACACTGTTTACATATCCCTATCACAAAAAATTTCAGCAAATTTAACATAACTCAAACAGTAACACACATTCTTTACTTACAACACAAAAAATTTACCCCAAAACACCTCCGCAGATCCCAACCAATTCCTCCATTAATAATTACACTGTTTACATATCCGTATCACAAAATCTCAACAAATTTAACCTAACTCGGACAACAGTAACACCTCCGTTGACAGAAAACAACGAATTAACGATATCTAGCTAAAAATAGTGCCAGATCACACTCGAACAACTATAATTCATACGTATAAAAGCAGATCCGGTAAGAAATAACATGAAAATGAGAGAATTCCAAAAAAAATGTATTTAATAATGTGAGATAAGTAAAAAAATGTACCACGTTATCATGATTTTCGAAATCCATGGCTTGAAATCGGAGAAACAAATCGAATTTTCAAACGCCGATCGCCGGAGAAGGCGATATCGTCGAGTAAGAGACGGAGGAGAAAATGAACTTCAGTTTTGGACTAAATGGTAAATACGACAGGTGTTTTAATAGTAACAGTTAGATTTACGATTATTTGCTAACAAATCCTCTCTTTTCTGTTTTATCTTCTTTTGGCCCCCAAAAAGCCTTTCCGTCCGTTTCTACTCATACTCACCTGAACTATCTAATACTTTACTCGTATTCCATGTTTACATTGATAATTATGTATTTTAGTAGAGTTAATAATAGAAAATACACTTAAATTAGGATAATTATGAAATTCATATATTGCATATTCATTTTTCTATTTATTTATCTAAATGATCACATTTGTGTGACCCTTCCTATTCACCTTGGTATTGAGTTGGTCTATATGCATCTATTATCGTTTGGGAATAAATATATTTGATCAACTCAATATCGAGATATATCTTAATATAAAGAAAATTATAGTCTAGGTAGATTTTTTTTTCCCCACAAATTTACCACTAGACAGTGTCTAGTTGCCTTTTATTAAACATAAAAAATATCAATAAGAATAAGTGCAAGCAAGGGGGGTTAAGTCTTACCTTACTAATCCTAATGAAGTACCTAACGTCTACTACCTAACAAGCATGAAGAAAATAAGAGTTAGAGAGAACTAAGTATTTTCTGATCACCAACGGCTCTCTCTTCTTAAACAACCTATATCCTCCACACTTAATCAACATTTGATAGATTATCCAACCCCAAGCAATCTCACCACAGAGTTTGTAGTACACTCCATGATGATATTACAAATGAGAATGCTTAAATAATGTAAAAATATGTCAATCAAGAAGAAAGTTGAGTTATCAGCCTCAAACTTTCTATTACAAATGATAGTCTAGGTAGATAAAGAGAACGATGATGAGTAAAATATGTTTGATTGTAAAGGTAAATTAATTGGTCGAACGGTATATATCTCTAACTTTCTTATATGTTAACTTAGTCCATTTGCACCACCCACCCGCCCAGCCCCTCCTAATTCAACCCATTAGAAATTAAGTTGACTGATATGTATCGTAAATGGATCACAAGAAATTTTGTGAAAATATTTATTATTTGATATGCTATGCATCCATAATAAACCCAAATAATTGATAACATGTTTAAAAAATATATATGAAAATAAATAAAGAAATTAAGATGCAGTAAGAATTGGATGAGTCATACTATAAGTTGTTTAGTCTATTTCGAGCTAAATAATTTTTGAATGGATCAAACTCAATTCATTTTGATTCATTTAAATTTAGGGAAAATTACCTATATACATAACCTATTTTATTATATTCTATAATTTTTTCTATCATTTAAAAAAGAGAAAATTGTATGAAATAGTAAACATATAATTCATATTAAATGTTATAGCTACAGTTTAATTTATTTATGATTCGTAGCTACTATTCCACATATTTTGCCATCTGGCGGGACTCATGATTTTCTATTGAACCAAAATCGAAAAATGGAAGGTATATTTGTATATATCTTTACACAAATCAAGTCGGATCTTTTCTCTCTCCATTTACACCATTTTCTTCTAAAATCTCTCACCACATTAGTTTTGAATTTTTGTCATTACCCTCCCGATTGTGGCATCAAAATTTCAGGTAACCGCCAAAAACGTGCGTAAATTTCATCTACATATACAGATTCAACTAATACAAATTATTATTTATATACAGATTACACATACATACATATACAATTGAAAAACACAACAAAAAGAACATATACAAATTACAACTAATACTATTTCTTATTTGTATACAGATTCCACATGTATATACTTATACAAAGAATATATACATATACAAATTACATCTATATATACATATACAATGGACAAGCCTAACAAAATATATATATACATATACATATACATATACAAATTACATTTAATATACAAACGCAATTATCGAAATTAAAGACGAACTTGTATTGTATACATATATAAATATAGAAAAAATTGAAACGTTTCATATATGAATTATCCAATTGTATAAATGAATTTATATAGAACTGACAAATTTGTATACAAATTAGATGTAGTGAATTATACAAATCAGAAGCTCCATAGAAAATATAAATATAACTTTGGAGCGTAAGTATCTAAACTATTAGAGCACTAATATGTTTATCACTCCTAAAATTTACTCTTTAAAAAATTACAAAAAGCCCTACTTTCTCATTTTCTCGGATACATCACTTTACACGATGTATCGATCGGATACATCACTTTACGTGATGTTCTCGAATAAATCACTCTACACGATGTATTGGGACATTGAGTGATGTATCCGAAATCGAGACGTGAGATGTATTTGAAATCAAAACGCGATGAATCAGGACGTTTTGAAATGTATCCGAATTCCACCAAATTTAAGAATTTTTTTAGTTTGAAAAAAATTAAGGTAGAATTCCCTCAAATTTAACACAACTCATCCATTTAATTGGGTTAACTAATGGGGTACTTCTGTTACAATATAGGCCCAACTGGACCCTCAATCATAAGATCCATAGTTACCATAGGCAAAGCCCAATTCAGTCGGCCCAAATAACAAAAACGTATACAATCCAATTAGACTTTGGAAAAGATCATGAAATAGTCAATTTAAAATGGTACTCAAATTCATTTACGATCTCAAATTTTTGGATACATCATACTTTCGCTCAGATCGAGGCTTTTACTTCGTCCTAAGACAAATCAAAGAAAAATGGTTTTTGAAATTCAACATTAAAAGAAAGTTTTTTTCATACCATCAACCAACATTGTCATTTCAAGGAAGAGTTCGACGGTCTCAAGTTTTATAATCTGGCCCAATTCTGCAAGTCTTTTTTTGTTGAACAACTAATTGGAGGTGAGAAGAATCCTTACTCTGTTCCACATAATGTACTACACAAATTCGATCAAGACATAGAAAAGATCCAACAAAAGGCAGAGCTAACATTTCAATTATGAATTTGACAGAATCAATTATATACTTTATACTCCAATTATATACTCTATATTTTATCAATAACCCATTGATTTTTTTTAAGAGAGTATAAAACTCGTAAGCTCAAAATCTTAGCTCCATATCAGATAACATGCTTTCCAATTGTCCAATTCTATTTGCCACTTTCTAGATTCACCTAAATTGTGTCCATGTGAGAATTTTCACCTAATTTTGGTCTGCTTTTTGTCAGTAAAAGGAGAATTTTTGCAGAGAATATAAGTACAAAATAATATTTGTGGTACGATGAATATATATTTCTGTTCATGACATAAAAAAATAAATTAAATAATTTCTTATGAAGCTGGATTTGAAACTTCTCATAGGAGACAAATGTTTCTATCTTTCCAAGGCTTTAAATTATTATTGAGTTTGTTATTATTGTACATGGTAAATGTTATACTAATTAAAGTGTTTAGATCACTCTTTTTTCTTCTTCTTTTTTTGCTTTTTGTCTTGTATTTTGTTATGTAGAATAGCTAATAATCCACTTAGATTGTGGTGATGTAAATATTTCTTTCTTTTTTAACTAAAGATTTTAAAGTTTGAGAAATTGCCTTTTGTTGAGGGTGCTTTATCCTCGGTATGATTTTTTTTTAAAAATAACTATTAATTTATTTGGATCTAATATAATTATCGAATATAAAGTGAAAGATCAAAAATAAAATGCAGCTTAAGAATTTGTTGACATTTTTTTTTCTCTTTTTGTTGTCTACTGTTTTCGAAAGGGGTTGAAAATTTAGAGACGATGAGATCTAGTCAATTTAGATTTGAAATAATTAAATGAAATAAGCATTAAACTTTTTTTTTTTGATTTAGTATAACTGTGTTTATACACATGATATATTTTAATTTATTTTTTATTAGGTAATTATTAAAGAAGGTAAATAATAGGGGAATTAAAAATTAGTGACGGACAAACCATGTTTTCTCCACTTTGCGTAAAAATACTTTTTTTAAAAAAATTCAAATCTTAGTAGTTTTTGACAAATCAAATTTGTTTCAAAATATTTAAGATTTTGCAAAATAAAAAAATCATTTATTACCTTTTTATCCAAATATGTCATCACTATGTTTAAGGTGAAAAAGACAGAGATTAATATTTTTTTAAAAGTCAAATAATACCGACGTAGTAGTAATTTATAGAGAAAACGTTTTTTCAGAAATTAATGTGATTTTTTAAAAAATTTAATTGAGTGATTTTATTGGCTAAAAAGGAGATTCATTTGACAGGCTAACAAACTCAAATTCATCACTATCCTAAAAAAGAGAGTTATTTAAAGTCAAAATGCAGTAAATACAATCCATTAACTATCCCCTCTTTATGGTATAATTAAATCCAATTGTAGTTTCTTACTTGTCAATTTATTTTGATGTAACATCTTGATTAATCGTTACTCTCAATACTTGTCTGTACACTTTTTAAGAAATTATAAATAAAAGAGTAATTTTACTATATCATTCTTTAAATATAGTAAACATAATATCTTGAAAAATGTGATAGAGAAATAACTATAATTAATGATAAAGGATAAATTAGGAACGAAGTGTAAAATTATTCAGTGGTTTCATAAAGTGGACAAGTATTGTTGGACATTCCAAAATAATATAGTGGACAACTATCGTTGAACAGAGGGATAGTTAGTATGTGTACTTTTTACACATCTAGAAACAACTTAATCGTATCCAACTTAGTATATCAACAAGGGCGTCAATGAAGTTATATATTTGTTTGTTCATGTGAATTCAATATTTTCAATACGAACAATAAATTTATATGCAAAATTTTATTAAAATTATAGTAGTTTAAGCTCAAAATTTCTAAATATGATGTGTTTGACGTTAAAATATATAAATGTTGAACGTATGAGATTTAAATTTTAAATTCGCCTAATTAGAACTTATAATTTTAGAGTTTCTGGTGCAAGTTTTCCACACAAAATTAAGAAATTTATTTATCTCATTCCATGCATCTTATTATTATTATTAAGAAAGTCTTTTTCATCGTACCGTATCAGGTCTTTATACTGTAG